CCTCAATGATTTGGGATCGAGGGGGATTATCCCTCTTTATCCTGCCTCATCTCGTGTAGGCCTGGACAGCCTTCGTAGGTGGGCCCCATCCGTCGTCTACCCCGACCGCAAATGCGGCCGGTGTAGGCGCTTTGTGGGACCTCCTTTTGTCCTGGCTGGGCCCCGCCGGCTAGGGCCCTTTCTTCTGGCGCTCTTCTTGCTTCGCCGGCTCGTCTGTGTAAACCCCGGGGGTAGTGTCATGTTTATGTGTGGTATGGTTGGGTAGGGTAGTGCGGCTATGCAGCCTGGGATGCGCTTTGCTAAGGTGGCCCTTAGGCTAGCGCGGGAGGGGAGGGTTAAGGAGGGTATGGGGGGTGTGTATGTGTGTGTGTGTGTGTCGTTGTCTTCGTTTCTTGATCCTGGCTGTCTCTGAAACAGAAAAGGTTAGCGGGCAGGGGGAGGGTGTCGTTAGGGTGGTCACCCAATTCAATATATTGAATATATTGAATTATCCTGAAATTTCAAGTTCTAACTAATACTCTATTGGCCTTCGGTGATTATACCAAAAATAAATTTATCATTAATTAAATTATATAATTATACTGATTATTAAATTATTTAGAACCATTTATTTGAGTGTCAAAGTTATACTTGTATCGTGTGTCTCAAAATTCACGCAAAATTTGAATTTTGCACCATTTGTGCGGTAAAGTTCCAAAAAAAAAAGTCTGACAGTTCAAGGTTTATCAAAATTGCAGCGCTACACTAAAGGACAGCGCGTTTTCATTGTTGAACAAAGAACTGAAGCCTACTGACCACGCAGAGCAAAGAGAGTTCGTTGAATGGATTAGGGAACAAGTGGATGCTGTTTTTTCGAACAAACTCACCTCAGCATCTTGATGGCTTCGTTAATCGACAACTGACGCATTTGGGTTTCAAAAAATCCACAAGTGATTGTTGACAAACAAATGCATCCACAACGTGTCACTGTTTGGTGTGGATTTTGGGCTGGAGGCATCATCGGACCATTCTTCTTCGAAAATGCGGCTGATCAGGCAATAAAAGTTAATGGTGCTCGCTATCGTAACATGATAAACCAATTTTTTGTGCCGAAATTGCATGACATGAATGTAGATGACGGTGTCACATGCCATACAGACCGAGAAACAATTCAATGCATGAGTCATTTACTGGTCGTGTGTGATCAAAATTGGTGCGATTTAATGCCGCTGGACTTTTATCTTTGGGGCTTTTCGAAGTCTAAGGTTTATGCCAACAAGCCCATAACCACTCACTCATTGAAGGAGGAAAACGTTCTATTTCCTAAATACAATGTTTTCAAGTTTTATTCAAATGTATCTGAAGATGTCTGGCGGATAGTAATGACACTTGAAATAACAATATTAAATACATATATATTTTTAAAAAAATATATAGGTATTATTCTTGTTCACATTCTAGCCAGCCACTTCAGGTGTAACTAATGTAAGTTTAAATAAAATCAACGTCCGCTAAGAAAACATTAATCGAAAAAGGTTTATCTTTTTTAAGAAAACTGAAAACACTTTTTACATAAAAAGGATTAAATTAAACAGTTAAAATTTATTTATATTTAGAAGGTGCCAATTTGTGTTTGTTAATTCAGCATAAGTACATAATTCATGGTATGCAGGGTGTAACTTTGAGGGGGGGGGGGCAGTCATATTTATATAGAGGGTACCTTTCACCTTTAAAAACATGTTATCAATAGTTTATTTTTCCAAATTTCGTCACAACTTAATTTTTTTTAACGTTTTTGTATTAATTTTTTTTTCCCGCCGCTGGACAAACTTGTGAAACCTCCAACAGCGGCATGCTTTAGTCGCAGCACATGCACAATTAGGAATTGGCTATGCATTATTGTTAATAAATCTCATATTTGAAATAATGATTTCAATTCAAATTTCCACACCACCCGCCGTGAGATACTGCTCCTTGGCACGTTACTATTGTCGAGTGGGTGTTCACCAGGTGCCCTATCATCCATTTTAAATAAGATAAACTAGTATATAGGAAATAAGTAATCTAACAGAAAATTCAGGCAGTACCTAGTCAATAACGATAAATGAAATACACAAAAATAAGTATAGGTAAATAATCTAATTACTCATTTGATTTTTACAGCATATGGCGTACTTGAAATTTTGTGGCTAATCTTCTAGTACAGGTACCAGGTTCACAGCGTTTAAAATTTCTGTTTCCAAATGTCTCATTCCTTTCAACATTATTGTATTGGCTTTCAAAACTTCCATAATCTCTAAAATGTCGAACCAATCTTAAAAACATATTCTTATTTGACACTTGATATATCTTCTTGCAACAAAAACAGTGAGAAATTGATTCACTCTTAAAAATAATTTTTTTGACATATAATAATGTAGCCAATATAACTTTTTTGACTTACAAGTAGCTTGTTTAACAATGTTTAGCATATATTTGATAGAAATCTGTGAAATCACAAATAAAGAATAACGACAATTACCGCTGACATTAGAGTAACCCGATGTGCACCTCGAGGAGAGATTGTCAAGTGGGATTTTGCACATCATTTTGTCCTTGAAAAGGACAGTTTGTGTGTATGTGCGTGTCTATTTTTAATAAACACAAAATAGGCACTATACATTTTTTTAATACACATGAATTTTTCAAAAAATATATATTTTTTTATCTTAATATTAACTATTTTTATTTATATGGTTCTTACATTTATATACATATTTTCTATTTATATTTTAAATTTAATCTGAATATTCTTGTTTCAGTATGATTATTTTATTAATTAATAAAATTAATTTGTGGTTTGAAATAATAAAATAATTTGACATACCTGATGTTACAACTGTTAAAAATTTTATCCACTGACGTGTAAACACATTTGGGTCCCTCTTACTCAGTTTCTACGAACTAGCTAACACAAATGTTGTCTTGCTTCACCATAAATTAAAACCATATCCATCAACTCCGAGTTGCTATATACACTCAAGCCATTTTTGACACACTACTAAAACTATTGTAAACACTACAGATAACAGGTAAACGCTAACGCAACGATGATTGTAAAATAGGATTTCAGTATTCGGAGTCGCTGAGGCCATGTGGCTCTCCACGCGTATTGCGAATGACGTTAGAAATTACAATTGCCCAGCTATGTAATGGTTGAATGTACTACAACTTCAGTAATTTTTTTCTGGGAAACTATAAGATATTGACTCCATTTCTCATGCCGCATCTATTCCCAAATATTTTTGGATAAGTTGTGAATCAGCCTGTATAGTTTTCTTAACCTTCACTCAGTTGAGAGTCATTAGAATTTACTTATGCAAGTCATTGACCTGGATCATTAACATTAATCTGTTGATGGATATCTAATACTGACTTTATGCCAGCATAAATAAAAATTGTTAAATTTTTTTTTCACAATAACATGTTTAATACTATAATTTTTTAGTAAAATTTGTCAACTAAATTAGATAAACATACAGATTTACAAAGTAAAATAATATTCATACTGAGACAATTATAAAAAGATTAAATACAAAATATAAATAGAAAAAATTATATCTATAAATGTAAGAAGTAGTATTACTTCTAAATAAGCCGTTAAGATAAAAAAATTTTTTTTTGGATATATTCATGTATTAAAAAATTTTTCGAGTGTTTATTGCAAATACACACACACACACACACACACACATAAACAAACTGTCCTTTTCGGGGCAAAATGATAAGCAAAATTCGACTTGACAATCTCCTCGTATGCACATCAGGTTACTCTAATATACAGCGGTAATATTTGTCATTATTCTTTATTTGTGAGAGTATCTCACATAATTCTATCAAATATATGCTAATCATTGTTGAACAAGCTACATTATATGTCAAAAAAATTATATTTAAGAGTGAATCAATTTTTCACTGTTTTTGACCGCTTTGTGGGCCCTACCCTCTCCAGATGGACATATGGAGCTTCATTGCCATGAAGACTTTTGATCAGTAATAAAAGAGGTACAACATATCAATTTTTCAGGAAATTTCACCAAAAGACCAATTTCCATAAGGTGTGTGCGGGGTCCTTTGAAAATTAAAACAGACAAATATACTGTACCATCACTAAACCTGAAATAAACAATTTTATAAAGTTATACATTTACATCACACAAAGGCACTTTTATTTCCAAAAAATATGGGATATGTGTTAATAAATATTTTCAGCAATATCTTCATAACTGAGCATAATTTTGACTTTTGATAGGCATACATTTGTGTAGAATAAAATTCTCTACCTATATCTGATGGTTGCGTGTAAAAATTTAAATGTACAAAAAAGTTACAGAATATTCACAAAGGGTGTAGTAAAATAAACGCCCTATATGATTTAACCTAATAGGAACATAAACACTGCATACTTCATGAAGAGAAACTAAGCAACAGCAAATTTTGCTCAAATCGGTTAACTGGGTTCTGAGTTAATGAGAAAACAAGAAATAAAAAAAGAAACTTTAACACTGTAACTTTTTTTTGCGACATTTTTCATTTAAGCAAGTTCAGTTAAATCGACACCATTTGGGTTCTAGATTATACCCTTGAAGTATGTTACACTCGTTAGGTGACACCCTGTATAACTGGTACTAACAGTGAAAAGATATTGTATCCAACTTGCTTAGATTTTCTAAAATACTGGACAAAAAATTGAGCAAATAAACGTCCCCTTAATTAGTTTCCCCTTTTATGAACATTCTGCTGAGCTGTAAATTAAAAAAATTATATGTAATATTATAGTATATATTATATATACATATAGTAAAATATAAAAGTTTGATTAATTATGTATGTGAGATTAATTTTTAAAGATGTGAAATAAGATTATAGTAATTCTTTAATGTAAGTAACGGACTTCTAAAAATCAGTAAAATGTGTCATATCTCGACAAGAGAGCGACGAGTTCCATATGTCCGTTCTCTCTAGCGATGTCCACTGCCGCCTTTCCATTATTCATCTTGCCATGCACCTTCACTCTGGCCTTTATCAGTTCTTTGGCACACTCGTAGCTTCCCAGTCTGGCACACGAGATCAGGGCGCTGGAATACGATCCGGGAAAGTCAACGTTGGCTTTGTGTGCAATCAGCAACCTCATCAGCTCCACGGTGTCGTTGTAACAAGATGAACTTAAAGGAGTCATGTATTTGCAGTTGTAGTTAACATTTGCGCCGTGTTTTAGGAGGATTTCACAGGTCTCTGTGAATCCCCATTTGCTGGCTTTCATTAAAGGGGTGAGGCCATAATCGTCGGTGGCGTTTACATTGCTACCTGAAAAGTAAAAATATAGAATTAACAGGTACAGATATAGTAACAGAAATAGTAACAGTGTTGCCAAACATCAAGTATCCCAATATTCCATGTACAGGGTGATTCACTATATTTTGACTTTTTTGTTTTAAAAGTTATAAAAAATGTGAAATACAAGAGGCGCGATTTTTCATGAAGTTTTTCAAAATGATAGTAGAAAAATAAATGAAGTCCAAACAAAATGGCCACGAATGTTAACTTTGTAATTTAAATGGAACACCCTGTATTTTTTAACGTATTTGAATAGAACGTTCCCTGTCGAGCATAGTCATATAGGGTTTGTTGGGTCTATCTCTAACAATAAGTGAGATAATATTAAAAAATGAAAAGGTTTTTTTTATTAACGAAATAAGACATTTTGTAATTGTTACACCCCTTTTAGGCATTTCCGCCTTTTTTCCAATTACTTAAGGACTTAAATTTTGTTGTAATATATTTTAACATATCGGACATTGATATAGTCTAAAATGCATATAGGTATTTTAACTAAATCTCACTAATTAGGCCGTGAGAGGCCTATTTACTCATGGACAATGCTATATGGTAGGCCGTGACAGTGACGGGTAATGTTATGACAGCATTGTTATTGTTCGACAGTTTATATTATTACTTAATTAAAATGGGTTACACAGAAATAGCAAATTGAAATATTATAGGAATTAAAATACAAGTTATTCTCCATACTCTATTTTAATTCCTAATAATATTTCAATTTTCTACTTGTGTGTAACCCATTTTAATTAAATAATAATACAAACTAACAATGAATAACAATGTTATCATGACATTACTACCTACCTGTTACTGTCACCACCTACCATATAACATTGTCCACGAGTAAATAGGCCTCTCACGGCCTAATTAGTGAGATTTACTATCTATACGCATTTTGGACCGTATCAATGTGCGATATGTCAAAATATTACAACTAAATCTGTAAATCGTTACATAATTGGAAAAAGGCAGAAAAGCCTGAGAGAGGTCTAACAATTACAAAATGTCTTATTTTCTTAATAAAAAATCTTCTTTTCATTTTTCAATATTATCTCGCTTATTGTTAGATGTGGACCTAACAAACTCTATATTCCATTTCCATTTAAATTAACAAAGTTAACATCCGCGGCCATTTTGTTTGGACTTCATTTGTTTTTCTACTATCATTTTATTATATACAGGGCAGGAAAGTACCGATAGTGTATCTGAAGTTACGTGAGAGCGATAAAGTAAGCCATAGATATCCATGCGATAGAGAAGGATGGCTATAATGAAGGCTTCTCTTTGTCACCGCCCGTTTCGCCCTTCCACAAATAAGATCCACTTCTTATTTGTGGAAGGACGAAATGGGTGTTGACTATTAGACGCCTTCATTATAGCCATCCTTGTCTATCACATGGATTTCTATGGCTTACTTTATCGCACTCACGTAACTTCAGATAGATCATCGGTACTTTCCTACACTGTATATTATTTTTGAAATCTCCATTCAATAGGCAAGATAAGAGCTCTTTAGAGTTTTTCTCCCGCGATGCGCCGTTTTTGAGTAAAAAATAAAACTCATATTGTCCGTAATTAATTAACCCATTTCCAATAACCAATTCTCGGTCAACGTATGGGCAGAAATCATTGGTAACCACTTTATTGGACCATTCTTCCTGCCGGGACGACTTGACGGTGAAACTTACCGCAATTTCCTTCAAGAACAATTGCCTTTGCTGCTTGAGGATGTTCCGATAGCAATAAGAAACCAAATGTGATACATGCACGATGGTGCACCAGTACATTACGGTGTAATGGTTCGCAATTATTTACAAACTGTTTATCGAAATCGTTGGATTGGCCGCGGTGGGCCTCATAATAGCCACCAAGGTCTCCCGACCTCAATAGCTTAGATTTGTTTTTATGGAGGGTTTTATTTTTTTACTGAACCCAAAAACATAACCTCAAAAATTCATCAAACTTAACCTCAAAGTAATACACTGACTCTTCTAAATCTGAGTATAATTACTTGAAAATTATATTTTTGAGCTTATATTTCCTAATTCTAAAGTCATAAACCTACATCATCATACCTCAAACTCTTCAAAACCTAACCCTAAACCCTCAAAACCCAACTGCAAATTCTATAAACTTGAGCTAGAAATTCATAGAAAGTATATGTTAATCACCATAGAATAAAGAGTCCTTGAAAACTACTTTCTGGAACTTATATTTTTTATTTTTGAAGCCCTTAACCTCTATTCTTAAATATCTAACAACAAATCCAAGAAATCTAGAAAGTCAAACGAAGGATATTTTCCGAACCAAAGAATGTGACTCCTTGAAAACTCTATACTGGAGCTAATAATTTGTATTTTTGAAGTCTCAAACTTATGCTATGTCCATAAAAACCTAACCTCAAACCCTTGAAACTTATTGTCAAATCCACTAAAAATAAGTGGATAATTATAGACAGTGTTGGTAGTATGAAATAAAATTTAAAATGTGTTGGTACCATTGTATGTAAAAAATGTTTTTTGGCAGTTGTGTAGGAGTGCAGAAATAAACTATTTGCATTTACTCGAAAAGCGCTTATTTAGTTTTCAAAAAACCAAATAGGCTCCCGCATATCATCAGACAGATAGATAAAATTTCATTCAATAAATTATAAAAATTTCAACAATAAAAACTCACTCAAAATCTTTATTATTTACCGAAATTATTCGATGGGCTTCATTTCGTTATCTTTATTTATAGGTATAAGACCTAAGTCCTTTTACCACGTCAAGGTAGCAGTCTTTAAAACGGTTGTTTTTCTGTTTTTTTATTTTTATAAATTTTTTACTTTCTTATTTTTTCTTATTGTTTTTTTGTTTGTTTTTGTTTTGTCACACAAATTTTCATTTTATTTTTAAATACCGAATTATGTATATTATCTTTGTTATTGAGGCTGATGGGTTCTCACTCGATTTAAAAAATTCCTATATAGTATACCAGGATCATAAAATTAAGCATTTTTGAAGAAGAATAAAAAAGAAATTATCACTGTATGGATAAAATAACTGAGTGCGTAGAATTTTTTCCCATATTTCACACTGTGTGGTGGCCTATGTTTTTCATTTTACTCCAATGTTTTTAATTTAAAATTGCGTTTTAGAGATGCAGGAAAGACATAGTTTAAATGGCTTAAAAATATGTAGAAACCAAAACATTTCAGTTTTCAACATCTTGTATATACCTATTGGATAAAAATACTATGTTTTTATGAAAATTAAAAGTCTGTGTGCTAATAAGCAAGCACAATTTTTTTATTTAATAATCTATGTCTAAATTTCAATGTAAATATTGAAATAATGGTAATGTACTATACTGACTCTAACTGAAACTAATGCACACACTACTAATCTGACTGACCATCACTTAAAATGACACCCTGTATATAAATAAAATTTGAGATATGGGGGTTTCAAGTGATGCTGATTAAAGTTATGCAGCAGTAGGCCATGGATTACCAGCTTGACCATCATAATGCTTTGACAAGTACATGTATGATCATCATTTTTCAATAATCCTGAAGTTTGATAAAAAAAAATCGATTCCTGTACATAAAATAGGTGAATATAAAATTCCATTATCTCTAAACGTTTTAAAAATTTACCATCATTTCCACTTTGGGTCATTACGAGTGATTTTTGGTCCAATTGGAAATAACAAAAATGCATGATTTTTAAAGCTTCAGGCCAGACTAACAAAATGCAATCGATTGTAGCCCAAATGGACCTACTCTCCACCATCCACTGCCCTACATACCACCCCATCAACAACCTATACACATCGCTAGGGTCAAACGGATCCAACGCCCATCTTCCCATACCCATCCCCATAATTCTAATCACGTCCAACTATTGTGACAGGCAGTAATGCCAGAAAACTGAAACAGAAGCTCTAGCTCCGTCAGGTAAACACAAACTGAAGCTTGGACAGGGAACATTTCATCCAAAATCAACTGAATATTTCTTGTCCGATCTAGGGATGTGTAATAAGTCACTTTTGTGACATCACTGCTTGTCATAATAGTTGGACATGGGTAGACAAAGTGGGTTGGATACGTTTAGCACAAATCAAGTGAATATTGCTCGTCTGGCTCAAGGTCATTTTCTGTCTGTCATAGTAGTTGGATGTAGATGGGTATGTAAGGCAGTGGTGGGGGATGGATCCATTTGGGCCAAAAACGATTGAAACTTGTTTGTCTGGCTCCAAGCTATAAAAATCAGGCAATTTTATTATTTTTCCAATTGTGCCAAAATCGTCGCTTAATGATTCTCCACTGTCGTTGCTCATATTTCTTAACATCCTGTATAAACACTTACCATTTTCAATTAGCAACTCAACACATTCTGTATACCCGTTGTTGGCGGCATAGTGTAATGCAGTATATTTTTTCTCATTTTCGATTGTTACATCCGCTCCTGAAAAATTCATCACGTTTTATTTTATTGAATTATTTATTTTAACTATTTAATTAACTTCAACAGCTTTAAAGTGGTAGTGTTAAACATTTAATAGCATGAGTACAAAAAAACTGTTTAATGCAACATTGTGCAACCTTCGAAATTTAAAAAAATAAATAAAAAAATTGATTTCACTTGGAAATAGATCTTAAAAGAATTTCAAGTATACAAACCTTTAGCTAATAAATATTCGATGACTCTCATATAGTTCATTTTACAAGCTATCATAAGTGGCGTGTTGCCCTTGTTGTTTTTCATGTCAATATCGACATCTGGAAATGCTTTCAGTACCTTGACTATACCTCTGAAGTTGCCCTTGTAAGCAAGGATATGCAACGCAGCAAATCCATCATTGTTCTTCACTGTTAGGTCAATGTCCTTACGAGTTAGCAGTATATCCAAGATCTCATCGTAATCCTGCAATTCGCATGCTATGAGAAACACCGAGTAGCCCTTGTCGTTTTTCTTGTTAATGTCTTGAGTCTTTGGCAGTAGGATATTTATCTTCTGTATAATTCTATACTCAACGGCTCTGTGAAGAGGAAACGATTCCCTTCTTTCTTCGTCCATTTTGTATTCCTATTGAAACAATTTCGTCTTTTAAATCAACACGTTGCTAACAAATAAATGTGAATATGCAATCACGAACCTTTTAACTAATCAAAATGTAAATTCTGTACTCGTCAGCACTTTAAAATCTAATCTGTTAAATAGATAACAAAGAAAAAGTGCGGTGTTCAAATCCTGTGAATCACTCACGACACGAACCAACAGGAACACTCATAAATTATAAATTAAAAATCCCCCGCGTCAGCAGCATTGCCAATGTCGTATTTTAAGGAATTTTTGAAGATCAAAGGGAAAAGGGCATTTTTTGGAAGAAAATTAAAATTAATGGATAAGATAAAAATACAAATTTGGTTATTACACGAATTATTATTATAAAAAATTAGTTTTAAATACATTTGTAGTTTTAACTTTTAAAAAATCTTTTATTGAAATGATTATTATCTGATTTTACTCAATGCAGATTTTTCTGTATCAGTACTTTGAGAATATGCAAGTCTCAGTTGCAAACTACATTAAATTAAACAATGCAAATACATATAAATAATATAATTTTTGGCTAGATTTTATTCAACCAATCAGTTATCGCATCATCTCGAGCAACAGTTTGTTCATTGTAAACCCTTTTTCACAATCGATGACGCTTGAGGTGTAATAAGGATCCCTTATTCCGTATTCCGCACCATAAGGAATGTGGCATTGTACCATTTGTACCTCAAGGAACGACTATAAATATTGGTACAATGTTGGTTATCTAAGCTCGGCGGTCACGAGGTTTGTAATTATTTGTGAATAGCAAAAATAGCAAGGTAAAGCTGGCAGATTTAATTCATAAATTAACCCGCTGTCCCTACTAATCTGTACTGCGCCATTGATAATCAAAATACATATTATCAAAATGTAAATTCGATTTGGTAATTTGACTATACATGCAGTGGCGGCTCGTCGGGTGACGCAAGTGACGCACCGCTTCACCTAAAATTTCCGTTTGTTTGTGCAATTTAAAATTATTTTAAATTTTATATAAATCTTATAATTTAGGTACAATTCTATATTGAAAATGTATTGTGTTTGTTTGTCTTATACGCAGAAATAAACAGAATAATTCCGCGGTGAACGCCTTCTAAAAAATCATTGGCTTCGTTGAGCGCGAACATCAACCTCGTACCATACAACGTATACTACGCAAGTGACTCATATTGAAATTGGTATGTATCTGCTTCTCTCCGTAGCTCTCCGTACGGCGGTTGTCATGGCAACGAGGCAGCCAACGCATGTGTAAACTACGGCCTGGGAGAACGAGTGATGCAAAAGTTGAAGCAGCATTCTCATCGTCATCGCGCATCGCCTGTCTATCGTGTGTAAACAGTTTATACGATACGTTGCCCAGTGCACGGTTATAATGGTTCTTTATTAATATTTGTTTTATATCAATAATTTGTAGAAATGTTTCCTATGCACGATCCTGTATGTATTTTATTGGAAATGCCATTTTCCAGACCGAAAATTGAGGACAAAAAAGATTTTTTAAATTGCGAAAGACCTGTACCTTCTCTCGATGTGGAAAAAAGGGGGAGGTCAAAAGACAAAGTGTATGTTCGGAAGTTTCGGATTGAATGGTATTCGGAGTGTAAGTGATTGTGTGGATGTGTTTATTTAAAAAAACTTTTTTGTATGCCGTGTTTAATTGCGAGTGTAAAATCGGGCGTGTGGAATAAGGAGGGATTTAACAATCCCGCTTAACATCTGTATCTGTACCTATCATTAAGTCCACGAGCCGAACTAATATTTCTATTTTTTATAAAATCTAAATGAAAATCCTTCTCGCCAACGTCAGTTTTTCGGTAATATTGCAAATGCAACTAAAATTTCCAGATTCTTATAAAGCCGTTTGACCTTGAAAATTTGAAAATTTTCGCCTGCGGCGCTTTTTTTTTAGTCAATCAATAAATATGCTTCACCTATTCTCAATGTCACGAGCCGCCACTGTATACATGTTCAAAAATAAGTTGTGAGTATTTTAAATGACTAAATATTGTGATTTACGTTTATGATTTAGAAATTCTACTATACTTAGGTATGTGACTATACTATTGTAATAACCTGTTTTAGAAATTTAAAATTCCGCGCAATTTACTTAGTTCAAATAAGAAGAAGAAGAGGAAGAAGAGATCTGGAGCACAGCAAATAAAACAATCAGCAGTCTAGCTGTAGTTGGCGGAAACGATAAGCGCATGCCCTCGCGCAGGCCGCCATTTGAGGAGAGAACCTGTCAGAAACATAATCGGCTAGTGATTTTTTATGTGTCATTATTATTGTGTTAAAACTATTAATTTTGTGTGTGTGTGTGTCACTGTTAAACTCTTATTTGTTGTGTGTGTTGAAACTTTTGACTATTAAACTGTTTTAGGTATATTCTGTGCGTGCTGAATTTTGTGTTGGGGGTATGTATATTTTATTATAATGTATCTACTCTCTCTCTATTCAAGCAAGTTAAACTTGCAATTTTTTACATACCTACGGTACATAAGATATTTTATTTAGGTCTGTGAACTACCCAGAAATGGATAAAAAAGCTGGACATGTGTGTGCAGCTAGAAACTGTCGTAATAAACAATATAATTCTTCAAAAAGTTTCTTTACCTTCCCTAAAGACCCTGTAAGGTAAATTTACATGTTTTTTTTTAAATATTTACACGCCCTTATAAATATAATGATATAAAATGTTTGCTGTAAAAGTTATGCAAAGCTATATACAGTTATTTATGATTGTACGGTATAGCTTTGTTTCTGTAGCACTTTAAACCGTTTGCAAACCATTAGAAGTAGTCGGCACACTATTGCAAACTTAACAGCGGTCCGTTCTGTTCATTAAGTAATTGGACCAGTCTATCTCTGATATAGTTTGCAAACAGTCGCAAGCATTGGAAAAGCAAAGCTTGTAGGTAATATTTCTGTTCTGTTCAATAATGTTTAGTTTGATCTATATTTTGGGTTATTAAAGTTAATATCCTAGAAAAATGGAGTACCTGGTTAATTTAAGACAAATGTTTTTTAATTGTTTTAAATTTATATAATGTCTGATTTCAAATTTCGATATTTTAGGGCAAGAACTTGGGTATTTAATAGCCACCATGAGGATTTAATGGAAAATCTGAATAATTTACATAAAACCCATCGACTGTGTGGAGATCATTTTAATATAAAAATGTTTACCAATAAGTACTGCAACCGCTTAAAACATAATGCCATTCCTACAATATTCCCCGAACAGGAGGGTTCTTCGAGAAACTTTTCAGGAGCGCCAACCGATCATGACTGCTATAGCCTTCCACAGCTAATCTGTTTAGAGGAGGTGCCTGCAAAGAAAGTTAAAGTCTTGCAAAATGTCATCATTCCAGGTGATTTACACTTTATGAATGTTTTAAATACCTACCTATTTATCTATTTTAAATACTTACATGATCCTGCCAATGTCACATACATATTTTCTAATTTCAGGTTGTGAAGACAGCGGAGATAATTTTTCGCCGCAATCTCAACAGACTGGTCAAGGTAAATTAAAAAATTCATGCAGGGTATTGGGCAGTTGTATAGAAGTTATTTGGAATATATATATTAGACCTCATATACTTATATACAGTGTTGCAACTTTTGTGATATAAAATGTTTGCTGTAAAAGTTATGCAAAGCTATATACAGTTATTTATGATTGTACGGTATAGCTTTGTTTCTGTAGCACTTTAAACCGTTTGCAAACCATTAGAAGTAGTCGGCACACTATTGCAAACTTAACAGCGGTCCGTTCTGTTCATTAAGTAATTGGACCAGTCTATCTCTGATATAGTTTGCAAACAGTCGCAAGCATTGGAAAAGCAAAGCTTGTAGGTAATATTTCTGTTCTGTTCAATAATGTTTAGTTTGATCTATATTTTGGGTTATTAAAGTTAATATCCTAGAAAAATGGAGTACCTGGTTAATTTAAGACAAATGTTTTTTAATTGTTTTAAATTTATATAATGTCTGATTTCAAATTTCGATATTTTAGGGCAAGAACTTGGGTATTTAATAGCCACCATGAGGATTTAATGGAAAATCTGAATAATTTACATAAAACCCATCGACTGTGTGGAGATCATTTTAATATAAAAATGTTTACCAATAAGTACTGCAACCGCTTAAAACATAATGCCATTCCTACAATATTCCCCGAACAGGAGGGTTCTTCGAGAAACTTTTCAGGAGCGCCAACCGATCATGACTGCTATAGCCTTCCACAGCTAATCTGTTTAGAGGAGGTGCCTGCAAAGAAAGTTAAAGTCTTGCAAAATGTCATCATTCCAGGTGATTTACACTTTATGAATGTTTTAAATACCTACCTATTTATCTATTTTAAATACTTACATGATCCTGCCAATGTCACATACATATTTTCTAATTTCAGGTTGTGAAGACAGCGGAGATAATTTTTCGCCACAATCTCAACAGACTGGTCAAGGTAAATTAAAAAATTCATGCAGGGTATTGGGCAGTTGTATAGAAGTTATTTGGAATATATATATTAGACCTCATATACTTATATACAAAGTGTTGCAACTTTTGTGATATACCGGGTGTTCCGTCTAAGGCAGTTTATTGGATAACTCTATTATTATAGATTTAAGAAAAAAATTGTTCTGAATAAATTTGGTAGGAGTTATGGGGTGCGTTTATGGAATCGGCCGGTGAAAATCGACACAAAAAATCGCTAAATTTGCAAAACATGATGTATCTCTGATTTTTTAGTATGTTGTTTGGACCCATTAGGGTATGGGCTATGTATACCCAAATTTGCAACTCTCAAAAAGTTGTGGAAAAATTTTTACACACCAAAAACCGGGAAATTTTTGGACTTGTTTCAGATTCTGCTCTATATCTCCTAATCCATGCATTTTTCGTGGAAAGCTATTCTATACGTTTTTTAAGAGCATCAAATTTGTGACAAATTAAGCCCAGCCGGAACTCTGTAGGTGAATTGGTTACCGAATTACGGCACTTTGAAAATAGGCATTTTTTCCAAAAATTGAAAATTTTAGTTTTAGACTTTTGGACCGAAATTGCGTCGAAACCATTGATCCTACTAGTAGTACTTGTAGAATATAATTTGTAGGCAATTTCATTATCTTTAAATTAAGCGCAGAGCGGGGTCTGTAAGCCTCGTGGTTTTCTCAAAATCTCAAAAAAACCCATATAAGGTAAAATCACATTTTTCCAGAAATATACCTAACCACTTTTTTGTTGCATGAAGTGAGATTTAAACATGCAAAACGTGTTCTGATCATATAGGAGGTATGTGAGTTGAATAGATTGTAGGTTGGTACCAATATTATTAGTCAACAAGCTAATGTGTACAAAAAAGGGTAGAGTGGCAAGCGCCCTTGCCATTGACGATTGTAGCGGTTCTTTGTTGTGCGTAGGGCAGGTGTTCCTTGGTTCCCCTCTTCCAAAACTCTTTCCTCACCCCCTCATTCACGCCACACTATCCGGTTTCTTATCTCCGAGCTCACAGTACAGTTTTTGTTTCTCCTGTGAGTAGCTCGTATTTCAATATGTAAGATTGTATTCAATTTATTTGTGAATTATTTTCTTTACGGACTTTTACAACAATAATAAAATGTCATCATCTAGGATCCACTAAAACAAACGTATACTTCCAGAAGAGTGGCAGAGGTGAGGCGGGTTGTGTCCAATTCTCCACCAGCTCATTCAACCAAGGGGAAGTGGAACTAACACCTGGATTTGAACTTTTCATCCACGCATTTACTGGGTTAGACACCACCTCTGCCCTCTTATCTGGCAGGGGTAGATGAAAATGTGAGGCCACTTCAGACAAAATCAAGCCCTAGTGGACCAAGCAAGAGTTTTCCTCCAGACAGATGCCACACACCAACAAGTCGCAGCAGCCGGTGACAAGTGCCTAATTGCCCTACATGGAGGAGACGAAACGAAAGACACACTCAACGATGTACGCTTCAGTACTTTTGTGAAGACAGCAGCCAACGCCAAAGCCCGTTTGCCCCCAAACACAGAGGCTGCATTGTATCACCACTACCGCACATACCACCAGGTGCAAAAGTGGTTGGGGGTGGAGAAAGGGGCTACCGACTGTTGGGAATTGACCTCGGCTGGACTCATCCCCATTACTAGTCGTTGAGCTCCTGCCCCCGCAGAGCTTCTAAAACTCCTCTCTTGCAAATGCAAGAAGGGGTGCAGAGGTGGCTGCCTCAAAGCAGGGCTCAGATGTTCTGTGATGTATACTACCTGTTCTGGGGAAACGTGCCAGAACGCTGCCCTTATCATCATTGAAGAGGACGACGATGACGAGCCTCAAGACAACCCTGACGATCCACCAATACTGGAGTACCTACCTATAGGGGACGAAGACGGCGACTCACCAATAGTGGAAGACATACCTATTGAAGAGAGCAACGAAAGTGACGGCCTAGGGCCATCAAAAACAAGGCGACGAATTTGACTATGTGTCTAATTTGATTGACTGATTGATTAAGTTACTGTACTTTTGATTACTTATGTTTATATTAAAATACATTTCACCGTTTTTTTAAATGATTTCATGCCTTCTTTTTTATTACCAAACCAAAAAACAAAAGATAGGAAAGGTTATGATTATGGATTTCTGGAAAATGTGATTTTACCTTATATATGGGTTTTATGCGATTTTGAGATAACTACGAAGCTTACCGACCCCGCTCTGCGCTTAATTTAAAGGTAATGAAATTGCCTACAAATTATATTCTACAAGTTCTACTCGTAGGATCAATGGTTTCGACGCAATTTCGGTCCAAAGGTCTAAAAGTAAAATTTTCAATTTTTGGAATAACTGGCCTATTTTTAAAGTGCCGTAACCAATTGACCTACAGAGCTCCGGTTGGGCTTAATTTGTCACAAATTAGATTCTCTTAAAAAACGTATAGAGTAGCTTTTGACGAAAAATGTATGGATTAGGAGATATAGAGCAGAATCTGAAACAAGTCCAAAAATTTCACGGTTTTTGGTGTGTAAAAATTTTTCCACAACTTTTGAGAGTTGCAAACTTGGGTATACTTAGCCCATACCCTAATGGGTCCAAACATCATGTTTTGCGAATTTATTGTCGATTTTGACCGGCCTAGAACATATTTTTGGTTATACATGATATCTGTCTCTAAAATTTTTATGAAAATGTTAAATATTTCAAAAACTGTGGATATTAGGTACTTATAGAGTATTCATTCCAAAAATGATATAAATATACAGGGTATATATTTAAAATAATAAAACTAGCGTCTAGGTGAAACTGAACACTCGATATAATTATAACGAGCGTTCAAATAAAAACGTGGTCAAGTTGGTTCTGAAAATTTGGACGTAGGGCGTAGCGTATAGCAAATGAACTTAAACGTCATCTGTCAAAGCGCTATNCTAGAACATATTTTTGGGTATACATGGTATCTGTCTCTTTGCTACTGTAAAATTTTTATGAAAATGTTAAATATTTCAAAAACTGTGGATATTAGGTACTTATAGAGTATTCATTCCAAAAATGATATAAATATACAGGGTATATATTTAAAATAATAAAACTAGCGTCTAGGTGAAACTGAGCACTCGATATAATTATATATTATAAATTATTTTCAGAACGTACACCCCACGATTCGTAGCAATTTTTAGTTGAAACATTTTTTTTCCTAAATTTATAACGGAGGTATTGAAGAAACTCTCTTATATGGGACACCAGGTATATCTCTACAAAGGGTTTGTAAATATAGGTATATGACGTCTAATATATTCTAATATATACTACATAATGTCAGTTATCACCTCTTTACAACTTTCTATGTCTCTATCTACTTATCCAAATATGTGTCTAAAACAGTATGAATAAGTGTGATTGATTTATTTAAGTAAATTACTATTTTCCAGATTTAAGTATTGTAATACCTGCACATGAGAAAGAAAATACTCTGCAACAATCGCCAACAGCATGTACGCAGACATCTTCAACACTGTCGTTTGGCACCCCTAGAAAGAGGAAATATAGAGAGCAAATTAAAATACTAGCTGCGGAAAATAAGATCTTAATGAAAAGAAATGAGGAACTTGAGGAGATGCTCAAAAATGCTCATAATAATGTGTAATATAAATTTTGTAGTTCAGCAGAAACTGCAGAATTCATTAATATACAAGTTAGCCAAGGTGGAAAGAAGAAAAATGGGAAGACGATATTCTAAACAGTTTAAAGCTGAACGCTTAAGAATCTACTTCACAGGCCCTACAGTATGCAAAAATTACTTAATGAAGAAATTCTCTTTTCTCTCAACAGTTCTCAACAAAGCAAATTTTGTATATTATGCATCGATGAAATTAGCATAAAAGTTAATTTATTTTATAATCATGTCACCGACTTAGAGGAGTATATTCTAAATGGAAGCAACCATTAGCCTATTATTTTTGTCACACAAATTGTCCTGCTGACTCTTTAAATGAAATTGTAAATGATGTTATGGGAAAAGTGAATGATGTTGGTTTAAATCTTTGTGCCATAACAACAGACATGGGATCGAATAATATTCAGTTAGCTAATGTCAGTGATGTAACACCAGAAATGCCTTTCTTTTATGTGGCGGAAAAATAAATAACAAATGTTATTATGTATGATATTTAATTCCTTTTTTCCCGACAGTGGTTGGTAAAAAAAAATATTGAAGGAAAGATTCATTCCGATTAACAACCTTAAAATAACCAAAATTCTCTAATAATGTGGTATGTGTTCTGGGATACTTATTTCAACACGAAAGTATTTGATTTTTATGTATAAAATGTGTCGTCCTATTTGTAAGGGCAGCCCCAGTAAATAACGGCATCTTTACATTCCAGAACCATTTTTAGTATGTACTAACCGCATAACACAAAATATGGAAACTCTATGGTTTATCTTGAAGGTACTTTTGTTATGCAGCCTAAAATACAATAAATCTTAATTAGGTACATGTCCATCGTAGGGCGCTAGTGTTGCTGAAAAGTCCCCGCGGTGTGATTGGTTGCCTAATGATAACATTATGTCATATATGTCTACCTGTTCCTGTCATGACAATTTCGTTGGTTAAGAGGTTGAATTTTCGTTTGTAGTGGTACGTATTTTCGTGGTGTTATATATATTTTTCTTTGAAGTGTTTCTTAAGGATAATGGACTCTTATAGAAAACGATAGAGGAAATGCGTTGTATCCGGTTGTAACGATTTGTACAGTAAAAGACATAATTTTCCAAAAAACGAAATAGCTCTGTTTAGGAAGTGGATAGATCAGGCACAGCTTAATATTACTAATATATAAACTAATATATTTTTTATATTATTCTTTTTTTTTCCTATACAAATCTTATAAATAGTGAAATCTTGCAATATACATATGACGATTACATTTTGTACTTAACAAAATTGATGAATAAACTGGTATTCTTGCATATTATACATTACTATTTATTTGGTGTTANACACTACGTAGAACTCTGTATATTTTATGTAGCTTTCCAGAACATCTGTTATGAACAATTAACACTGTTCACGAAACACATTTTCGTAAATTTCAAGTAAAAAGATATGTATTTAATAAATAAAAATTTTGTAGTTTCAATCCGCCATTTGTAATTCGTGATGACAACATTGAGTTCCCCCACTCTCATTCAACTCTGTTCATCCCACATAAAGTTACTATTATTTTATTTATTAAATACATATTTTTTTAAGTTCAAATTTGGGAAAATGAGTTTCTTAAACAATGTTCATTGTTTATTACAGATGTTCTGAAAGCTAAATAAAATATACAGAGTTCTACGTAGTGTTATCTGAAATATTAAAGTTAGAATTTTGAAAATTTTTTTTCTCAAAAACTGGGTTCGACCGCACAAAAAAACTTCAGATTCGTGTTCAGCACCATCGGAAATAGGGGGGATAGACAAAATTTTGTGAAAATTGGAGGGGGTGCCGCTAAAGTAAATAATTACCCTATTTTTTTGGTGTTAAAAGATGAGGTCCATCAATAATTTTATCAAAAGATTCATAACACATTCGTAAATACTGAATGGAAATTTATGGGCTCAGATTTTAAAGAAGCCTGAAACTCAAGTTAATGTATTATTTTGTTCAGTAGCAAACTATTTTCAATGTATAATTTTATGTGTATAAGTTCTATATTATTTTTTTAATTTTTTCATTCAAATAAGAATCTCTCTTTCAGATTAGAAAAAGCGTAAATATTCAAAGCTAATGGTGGGAAATGCAGTGGTAAAACACTTTCGAGATGAAGTTTGAAATTCTGTAACTATTGAAATGTTCATAACTTTTAGGCCCAGTTTTTAATTGTTGGTTATCGCTAACTAGCAGTTAACCCCGACTTTATTTTCTTCTATTGAAATTAAGAATAACAATTTCCTCCAAAATTGAAGGTTAACTTAATCAAAAATGTATTTGTAAATTAGCTTTTAATTGTATATTACTATCGCGAAATTTTAAAGTGTTCGTCAAGTATGTATGATTGAAAAACCGGGCGTTATTAAAGTTATGCAACATATAGGATTATATTAGTTATGGTAATTTAAAATTTCTCTTTTATTTTAGTACTGCATTTTTCATTGTTAGTTTTGTATATTTATGGTTTTTCTAATCATGGATAAATACATAAATATTTCTTAAAATTAATTTTACCGCCGAAATATATTGTCTTCTATAATAGATGACGCTGAGCTGACTAATGAAGTGACCTATAAATTATATAAAAAGTTAGGTACATATCCGTTGGGTGGCGCTGTACGATAAATAAATTCACCAACAAAACTTCAACTACTGCAGTTTCCATTATATTTTAAGTGTTATGTGGTAGTAACAACCATTAAAAGAACCATGAAATATGAAATATATTAGGCATCCACATAAATTGTTCTAAGTGGCTGTTGTAGGAAGCGGCGTTTAATTTTCACTTTTAGTCCGGTAGAAATATGAATGTAACCATAAGTAGGTATATTAGAATCTATAAAATTTAACAAAAATGAAAATATTATTTTTTACTGTTTTATAATTTGTACGTACCTATACCTACCCTACCTACAATATAATATACTTTTTGAAATTATTTATCTTCTCTGTTGCAACAAAAGTAAATGAAATAACTATTAGTCACGCGCCGCGCCATTATTCTATGGCTAGAAATTGGCCTCAATGATTTGGGATCGAGGGGGATTATCCCTCTTTATCCTGCCTCATCTCGTGTAGGCCTGGACAGCCTTCGTAGGTGGGCCCCATCCGTCGTCTACCCCGACCGCAAATGCGGCCGGTGTAGGCGCTTTGTGGGACCTCCTTTTGTCNATTAGTTATGGTAATTTAAAATTTCTCTTTTATTTTAGTTCTGCATTTTTCATTGTTAGTTTTGTATATTTATGGTTTTTCTAATCATGGATAAATACGTAAATATTTCTTATAATTAATTTTACCGCCGAAATATATTGTCTTCTATAATAGATGACGCTGAGCTGACTAATGAAGTGACCTATAAATTATATAAAAAGTTAGGTATATATATCCTTTGGGTGGCGCTGTACGATAAATAAATTCTCCAACAAAACTTCAACTACTGCAGTTTCCATTATATTTTAAGTGTTATGTGGCACTAACAACCATTAAAAGAACCATGAAATATGAAATATATTAGGCATCCACATAAATTGTTCTAAGTGGCTGTTGTAGGAAGCGGCGTTTAATTTTCACTTTTAGTCCGGTAGAAATATGAATGTAACCATCAGTAGGTATATTAGAATCTATAAAATTTAACAAAAATGAAAATATTATTTTTTTCTGTTTTATAATTTGTACGTACCTATACCTACCCTACCTACAATATAATATACTTTTTGAAATTATTTATCTTCTCTGTTGCAACAAAAGTAAATGAAATAACTATTAGTCAGATTAACTTGGGTAGGTATACCTACCTAGGTACATTAAAAATGATAAATTTGAAAAGGTAGGTAGGTATATTAAAAATAAAAACTGTATCAAATTATTATTTGTAACTAATTTAAAAAAATTACTTTTCCTTAATTGTGTGTTTGCTAAGCGACTTATGCGCGTTTGCACCGTTTCCGATTTAAGTAAAGAATAGCTAAGGAGTACTTAAATTTTAAGTCACTTAACTCTAAATGAGTTGCACTGCGGATACTTAACTAAGTGCTAAAGTATGTTTGGCAACGTCTCATTTTTAGTGATAATTCTAGGGAATTCAGGTTGACAAGTGATGTTGACGTAATAATTTATAAAATTATTGCGAATCAATTTGTAATTCGTTAATTTCTGTGTTTTGTGCACTGTGTATCTCGTGGAATAAACAGATAGACTAGAATAAAATATATACATATATCTATTAAAACTCTCAATACAGTAGGTTTTGTCAATCGAAATCTCTGAAAAAATGTAAGCTGATCCATGTCCTCAAAATAATTCGCTCTTTCATACACTCTTCTTGGATGCCCATATTCTATAATGTCCAAAATATCTATCGTCGTTCAAAATTTCATCAGAAGAAAATCCACATCCATTTTCAACTGGAAAAAATACAATCACTCTCGAGTAGGTACTTTCTTGAATCTTGAATGTAATATTTAATTTATAATTTTAATCTGTGACGTAAAATTCGTCCAATAACCCTAAAATATCAACACTTAAAAGTTAAGAGTACTTTAAGTGGGCAAATTCGACTACTTAAAATAAGGGACCCTTAAGCAAACTCGAGGAAGCCGTACAACGCAATTTCTTAGTTTAAGGATGGAAACTGATGCATTTCTGGTTGCCTAAATTATACCGAAAAATGGTAGAAAACAGCCCTTTTTTATTTCAATATATCTTTTTAAAGCAATGGAAGAAAGTAGTAAAATTTCATATCACATTTGGCAAAGTATAAATGAAGACAGTAAAGCAAAAATTAATTGGGATAGGTAAATAATTCCTGAGAAATTAATTTCTAAATATGAAGGTTTTTTGGACTTTTACAAAGAAACGATTATTTCTTCATAGTATTATAGAATTATGCNCGGGAGCAGGCTAATGGGCCGGTAGTTGGATGGGATGGTGTGATCTTTGTTGGGTTTTGGGATAAGGATTATGTTTGCTGTTTTCCAGCGGGTAGGGAAGTGTCTTAGTCTGAGTGTCGCGTTTGTTATGTTTAGTAGGGCCATGAGGCCCTTGTGTGGTAGTCGTTTAAGTGTCGTGTTATGTATATTGTCGGGTCCGGGGGCTTTTCTGTTTTTAAGTCTGCGTATTGTCAGTCTTAGTTCGTCAGGTGTTGCGGGGGGGATTATGTCATTGTCTGGCTCTCTGTCGACGCGTCGGGCCGCGCGCTCAGCCACTATCTCGAATTCCTCGTCTTCGTCGGGCAGCTGAGGCAGTCTACACTGCAGTTCCAGGCTATCGGCGAAAGCCTCGGCCTTTTCCTGGTTCGTGTAAACCACCCCCACACTACCGTGGATTGGAGGAATTTTACGGCGAGCGGTCTGTCGCAGGGCCCTCTGCGTTTTCCAGAGGCTGTTGTCTTGTGGATCCAGCGACTCCAGGTGCCTAGCCCAGTTATCCTGGGCCAGTTCATCCAGAGCCGCCTTCACCCGTCTGTTAAGTACGTTTAAGTCATGTCTGTGTCGGGGGAGGCGGGTGCGGGTGGCAAGCCGTTTCGCACGTCGTCTGTCACGTATTAAGTTTTTTATGTCATCGGGGAGGGTGCCCCGGGGGTTTGTCAGTCGGGGAACTATTAGTCAGATTAACTTGGGTAGGTATACCTATCTAGGTACATTAAAAATGATAAATTTGAAAAGGTAGGTAGGTATATTAAAAATAAAACTATCAAATTATTATTTGTAACTAATTTAAAAAAATTACTTTTCCTTAATTGTGTGTTTGCTAAGCGACTTATAAATTTTTAGAAAATATGTTTATATAAATATCGATAATACAGTCCTGAACGAGGAGAGTAAAAATTGCAAATATCCCTAATCAGGCCCCGTCTTCTCTCCTCAAATGGCGGCCGGTGACGTCATACACTGAATTTCAATAAAAGTGTGGTTATAAATGTTAAATGATTGTAATACGATTAATATTTACTGGGAGCGTGGCCTAATTGGTAACGTTCGGGACTGACAGTAACGAGATCGCTGGTTAGAGTCCATCGCGTGACATATATATATATATATATGTTGTCAAGATGTTTCCGGGTTCCTCTCCGCGTATGGTTTTCTTGATTCTGGATAGAATCGTGTTCTGGGCGACGTTTCGGCAAGATCACACTTGCCATTTTCAAGTCTTCTTTGTTCTACTTCGTGTAATACGTTGTGAACTGGTGTTTACCTGCTCTGCTGCTGCTTTATATATTATTTTCGCGTTCTCCTTCACTGGTTTTCGCCTCGGTTCGCTGCTCGTTGGTGCGTCAGATGTCATGCTTGGTGAAGCGTTGCGTCGCGCTCTGATGATTTTGTTTGCGAGAATCGGTTTCCAAGCTATTGGGAGCCTTTGTGTATCGTNAGAATGGAATTTGGTCATTTATGTCAATGGCTACAAAACAGAAATTGTGACATGGCTCTATATTTTTTGATATTTTTGTGGAATGAGGATGATGATGTTCCTTATTTATGTTATAAGTTTAGAGAATCATATCATATGTTCGGTTTTTTATGTAATTCATACGAAAAAGACCTGAATTACAAATGATTCCACCAATATTATCTTTGGCCTAGGTCACAAAAAAAAGAGGATAATCCTGAAGCAAAGTGGATCGCAAATATGTCCCATATAAAAAATTAATCTTACGACCATTACTTAAGTAAAATATTTGCTGTTTCAACGTCTACGTTTACTAAAACATCTGTATCAGAATCCGTCATTTTGCTGAACGATTTTTATCCTCATTCAAATAAAATGTCAAAAAGAAAAAGGTTAAGTTACCGGCTGACAATACTAGTTGAATAATACTAACAGAATATTCAGCTGAAGGGTGAAGAGTTCAGTCATTTGATCTAAACTTGTGACGTCACATAGTAGTTTAAATGACTGACTATTCTCGCAAAAACGTAATATTCACTCATACTACACATACTACAACATACGACTTCACTCGCGAAAAAAAGCCTATAGTCTCTATGCATGTGAGGTTAAAATCATTTGGATCTTGGATATGTAAATCAAACATAAGAAAGATTAGTTTTTGCTAAATTTACATTGCTGTAAAAAACTTGGATTAATTGGGCGGGTTGAGTTAATTTCTTTGAAAATTTGAAAAAATTTGTAATTCAATATAACGGATGTGTATTTTGCTTTAATACATAATATTTTGATTTATTGATATTTTAATATTTACGATATTTGTTTAATAATATAATAGAAAAGATATGTTTTGTTTTATACAAAAATGTCAGTTTTTATGTGACAGTTTAAAATTTCTTTGTCATTTTAATAGATTCAAAATATTATGCAGTGTGGTAATAGTTGGCACATTTATCTTTTTAATATAATATTAATTTGCTATAAAAATTTTGTCACTACCTTAGTATTATTGAGTGATATTATTCTGTACAAAGCATTATGTCTTCGTATTCATTAAAAACTGGAATAAATGGCGAATTCTGTTACATATTTAATTATTTCTAAACTAAAAAATTAATAACAGAGATTAAAAAACAAATGTTAGTAAATACGTATAAAACAACAAAAATATCTAGAATTTCTTAAATTATACAATTTGCACCGACATTATATTATACAGTTTAACTTATTTTTTCAGGTTGTAAGTCAGTAACGACGCTAGAAGAGGCACGTCGTTTTATAGTAGATTGTTTCAAAGCAGTAGGTGTTTCAGAAGAATATGCAAGGATTGTATCTGACAACTTAGTGGAGGCTGACTATAGAGGGCATTACAGTCATGGGATGAACCGTTTAGGTAAGCATGGATGGTTTAATTTCTAGTAATGGGATTAGCATTCATTTTTTTTACAACCGTAAATAAATATATCCCAAATTACATATTATACAAATTTTTTTTTTGTTAGTATAAAATTTGGAGTCGACCATAAAAATTATAACGAGAATTTTAGTATACATCTTGTATATGTTATTCGCGATAGCTGAAATCGCTCACTGCCGGATTTTTTTGTCCGAAGGGGGTTAAGGGTATGGTAATTTACCCACGATGTTTTAAGAGAGTTTTTTTCGAACAATGAGTAAAGCAAATTAACCAGAACGCATTGTGAGCAAAGTATGTCAGTGAGCGATTTTGGCTATTTCGGATAACATATATATTTTATATTTATAATTTCAGTTCTTATTTTAAAATAAATTCATAGGCCTTTTTCAAGTTTGTTCTCTTTTTCGTGTAATTAATATTATTGGTGATTGATTTTAGTGATTTGTCATCTAAAATAAATAAAATAACTTCGGTTATAATGGAAAAAAGTGACGTCTATTCACAATACTAGCATACCAAAGATTTAAATGGGACGAAGCACACCTGCTCTATGTTAGTCCGTTTATTGTAATTTTTTTGTAAGTTTTTGCAAAAGATTCACATTTCTGGTGGCTAAGTGTAAATCTACAATACACTGGATATAATAGCTACACAATGCTATTGACAAATTGTAAATGTATCACAATCATATAATCGACTGTATAAAACACAATTTTGGTGAGATTGTGAGTAAACATTTACTGCCTACGTTATTGTAAATTGTGTACTTCTTTTGCAAAAATTATAAAAAAAATTAAAAAAGGACTACATCTTACATGTTTTAATCAAATCTTTTGAAAATATATTATAGAAATGGGAAACGACTGTTACTAATATTTTGCAGCAATAAAATTTGAATCAAATTTGTTATAATTGTACATATTAAAGTTATATAAACATTTTATAACATCTTAATTATATTAAATTGTTATTGAATAATAATTATCAATTTGACAATTTAGAAAGCCTCGATGGTCAAGTGTCATTTAATTAATTAAACAATTAATTTTTCGCATTTGCTTCGCACATTAGTTCAAACAAATTTAGATTTACCGTACAGTACTCTGATAAGATTGTAAAAAGATTCCATTTTAGAGCTGTACATCAATGATATTCTGGGCGGAACAGTGGATCCCAAGGCAGTATGTTCGGTTGAAAAACAGTCCGCAGCAACTGCGCTTGTGAACGGTAACAATTGCTTAGGAGCTGTAGTTGGGAAATTTTGCATGGATCTCGCCTTAGAAAAAGCCAGGGATGCCGGGATAGGCATGGTTGTCGTTCACGGTAAATATGGGTTTATTTCAAACTTTTCTCCAAAAATAGTAATAGATCTGCCTAACAAAATCTGGTAATTAATAACTTGGACGGAGGAAATAAAAGAATTTTTCTCTTTTTTTTTTTGCCCCCATTTTTAAGGTGTTAAGGCCCCCACAGACACACGTTCTTTTTGGCAGTTTTACCCGTACATTTTTATCTGTACGGGTAAACACGAACAACGGTAACCGCCGCACACTAGACGTGTTTTTTATTCAGTTTTTTGAAATCATGGTGTCATTAACATCAACCGTTCTGTGATGGAATATACGACAACACTGGCAGTGGCGACGGTAATTGCTATAAAATTTAAATCTAAAAAACAAAAAAAACTTTCAGAATGGGTTAAAGAATAATACATCTGTTTATTGAAATAGGTTGACCCTAATACACCATTCAATATACATATATACATATACATAAAGAATGGTTATTTAAAAGAAAACTATTTTCACACGTAAATCTTTTGCATGAATTACGACTAGAGCCGGGAGATTGGTTTAATTATTTGCGAATGGACGAAGAAACTCTCTTCTCTTCTCTTGGTGTTTCCTGGTCTGTGAGAAATAATAAATAGTCGTAGTACCATAAATGGGGCTTATATATCTCGTCACTCCCTGAACCAGATTTTTTAGATTGCAGGACCTTTTTTAATTCTTTTCTAAAGCAACCACGTAGAGAATCAATTTTCTTTTTTACGGTTTCTTTTGTTGCAGAATTATCAACTTCTTTTAATTTAATTACCATATCTTGGTAGGCTTTATTTTTTTATCCCTATCAGAATAGTCCGAAGATTTAACTTTCCAAAGGCATGGATAGCTTCTGTAGAGTTCTATAAACTCGATTACAAATTGTTTGTTAAAATTTCTTAGATTTGTCATTTTTAAAGTGAAGTCGCAAAATACAAAAATTACACTGCAAAAGACTTCTAGCACTTCACTGAAAAAAAAAAACGTCCTTTTTAACCGCGTCGTCACACACACGCACCGACTTGAACGAACACGTTCAAAACGGACGGTTTTAATCAAGCTGGGACAGATATTTTTAAACCCGGGGAAGAACGAAGGTTTTTAGCCACACACTGGCAGTTTTACCCGTACAGATAAAACTGTATGGGTAAAACTGCCAAAAAGAACGTGTGTCTGTGGGGGCCTTAAAGTGTAAAGTAAAAGTTTTACGATTTGGAAATGATGGACATGTATAATATATCGTCATTGCGCGTTCAAAATGTGACGTGCATATTTTCAGCAAAAGTTACAAAAATTATTGCCTTTAGAAATGTTTAAATTTTTTTTAAATGTTTAAATAGTTTTTTTTGTTTGGCATGTGTTTAAAATAATTGTATTTCTAACAAAATATTGCAATAATCTGTTTTTTAAAACAAATAGTTTAAAGTTACTTTCGATTTATTTAGCACTTTGATAAAACTCATTTTGAATTTAAAAAACATTATCTCTTAAGATGTTTTTTTTTTCTACAAAATGGAAGAGACCTTTTTTGCAGAATATTTAGTTTTATCAAAATTCAGAAGCTGTTAGTGGTACTGACCATTGCCATTTATGTCAGCCAACTTGGCCCAAGTTTCATCATTCTACTTAAAACATCCTCAGAGAAAATTCAGAAAATGTGAAAGGTTTTTTAATTTCAGCACCATGTGTCTCAAAAACAAAGTGAACTTACCTTCATCGCTAGAAGAAATAAGTTAAACTGTATTTTGTTGATATTTTAACAACTTTTTCTTTATTTCTGACATATTACATAACATTACTTAATATCGAGGGAGTCATATCAAAGGGCGTACAAACCAAATCTGAAATTTTACAGGCATACGCCTTTCTGATTTTATAGTTTTGCAAAATTGGTTCACACATCTAAGTAAAATGTGTTAGAATAGAGTGTTAATGTTTATGAATATATACGCCCTTCTGATATATTAAGCGAATTGATTAAATGAGGTCATACACCCTAAAAACCCAAAACCGACTATAGTGGCTCTTACGTCCTTTTGATATAACGCCCTCGATATGTTACATATTCTTACCCACAATTTCTTTATTACAGTTGTTAAATATTAACAGTATTCACAGCTAAGTTAGATTTTTCTCACAGAGGCGCCATTTTGTGTGCAAAGTATGTACAGATAGACTAGGCGGTATCTGTTTTGGTTTCGTATATCCAAAATGGGGGCAATTTTTGACTTTTTGGCTTTCAAATATCAAAATTTTTTTATGCGCATAAAAAAAACGTGGCCTTAACTTTTGACGGCACAATATGTTAAAAAAATTCGAAAAATGTCATATTTTTCTTCCTATTTAATTATGTATCTTTTCAAGAGTTGATTTTAGGCGAAAATGGAAGAGGAAGAAATTGTTTGTAATTAAATTTTTTACAAAATATGGCTAGTTACAAATCGAATGAATCATGATTATTATTGTAAAAATCGAAAAAATCGCCAAAAATGGGGTTAAAAAACATTACTTATTAGGGAATTTTTTGGGGTCTTTAAATTTTGTATAGGACCTTCATACTTGGCTCAAGAAAACTTTATGTTATGTAGAAGCATCACACCAAATTTCATCAAAATCGGTTTGATAGATTTTGCATAATAATTTTGCAATCCAGATTTTGAAAAAAAATTTGCAAATTTTCAAAATTTTGCACAGCAAAAACCAAAGCCTTTAGATACTTGAAAATTGAATCACATATAGGAGGGTTCTCAAGCTTTCAAATGTTTTTTGAAAAATTCGAATCCATCAATTAGGAGAGCTCTGCCGCTTGTTTAAACATTGGTCGAATTTTTGTACTTATAAACAATTAAAATAACTTTATGAATATTCAATCAAGTAAAATTTTTAGCAGGTTTTAAAAGTTATTGGCAAGACGCTTCTTTAAAAAAAACCAGATTATTTGGTCAATTAGTTACGTAGTTATAGGTGAACAAAGTTAACCGGCATTTACACTAAATGTACTGGGACATCCGGGCAAATTTTTCGAAAAATACCTTTGGTATTCCGACTAGGTCTAAGTTTGCAAAACTTTACTTCATTGGCAACCAACTTTAAAACGTCTTTAAAGTTATTTATGCAAGCGAGAAATTCAAGAAAATCGTATGGCTGGTGATGGTGGGGGAAGCAGAGAGCGCGGCCGCTTCGGCCTGCTCGAAATTGAATCGGTGAGTTCAAAACCGCGACGAGCTTAAAATTTTTAATATCTCTGCATCTAGGGGTCCGATTTTGATGATTTTTTTTAAATCAATGTCTCGTGATATAAAAAAAATAAACGTATTTTCAAATTTTATCTTTAGTCGATTTAAAGGTAATTAAGGAAAACCATTTGGAAAGTAACAACTTCGACACACTGTATCTCGAAAACAGGGCGCCTAAGAAAAAAATTTTACATGAATTACTCCTATTATTTTCCCATGAGGAACTTGCACGCAAGTTTTTTTGAAACATAAACGGGACACCCTGTATATTATGCCGCCAAAAGTTAAGCCTATGTTTTTTTTTATGCGCATAGAAAAATTTTCATTTCTAGCGATATTTGAAAGCCAAAAAGCCAAAAATCTCCGTAGATATACGATTCACCCAAATATGGACTTTACAGATACCGTCTGGACTAAGAACAAGTATATAGATATGTGTAAGAGAAGGATTCTCGGTGAAGTGAAAAAAAACATTCATTTGTCCAAACAACTGTTTTTTACTGATATTTTCTACTTATACATACAGGATGTTACAAATTCGCTCCTCACTACAGGTATCTCGGAACCGGTAAGAGATATGAAGTAGCTTAAATGGGGGCAAAATTCCATAATCAGGGGACCAACATTATGCCTTCAAAAAATCAAGGCTAAAATGATTTGTTTTCGAGATATTTGAAACAAACCGAAATTTTGGAAATCCGTTTTTGTTTCATTTCAGCCTTGTTTGAGGTGATATTGATAAAAGAACACTTTCTCATTGCAACTTTTGCCCTTTATCGAATGGCATAATCAATTTTTATATGTAACGTTTCGTCTCTCCAGGACCACCATCAACTTCATTTCTTTAAATACTACCCTGGAAATTTTATTACATTTTTTTCAAGCGTTCATGAGCCCCAATATTGTACTGCATCAGCTCGAACCAGATTCAGAAGTTTTGCCTCGAAAAATTCATCTTCAATGTACCTATTCGTTTCAAATTTATCTAAATTTTTTATTTAGATTTCTATGTTTATTGAATTATTACCCTCTAAATGTCGTTAGACCTTGTGAAATAGACCAAGTTATTTAAACTATTACCATCGCATGTTACAATACAACATTATTAAAGTTTTAATCCCGTGCTCATAGTTAATTCTAGTGCTCAAAATTAAAACAAATTTCGATATAATTTTTTTCAGGATATTCGTACAAATACATCTGACATGCTCTCTCACGGTTGCTGTTGCACGTATAATAAATTCGGATCATATTTTGCTTATCTTCATTTTCATCATTTGCCAAAACAGAAAGGTTTTTGAACATTTACTGTAATTTTTTAAAGTATAATATTCATTTAGAGTTTTGGTTGTTCATATGCGTTTTAAGAATTAATTTGTCATAATGAAATTAAAATTGTAATAAATAATGTTTTAATTTTGACGCAACAACTTATCGAATTACATTTGACCAGGTAATGAAGATGAATAATGTATAATAATAATAGATAATGAACTAGGTGGATTTCACAGGGTCTAACGACATTTAAAGTATTTGATAATTCGATAAACATAGAAATTTAAATAAAAACTTTAAATAAATTTTGGAACGAATATATTGAAGATGAATTTTTTGAAACAAAATGTCTGAATCTGGTTCGGGCTGAGGCAATACAGTATTAGGGGTCATGAAGGCTTGCAAAAAATGTAAATTTTCCAGGGTCGTGTTTAAAAAAATGAAGTCGATGGTGGTCCTGGAGAGACGAAACGTTACATATAAAAATTGATTACGCCATTCGATAGAGGGCAAAAGGTTGCCATGAGAAAGTGTTCTTTCAATATCACCTCAAACAAGGCCAAAATGAAACAAAAACGAATTTCAAAATTTTATTTTTTTTTTTCAAATATTTGGAAAAACTAATCAGGTTAGTCTTGATTTTTTATAGGCATAATCCTGATTTTGCCCCCATTTAAGCTAGTTTGTATTTCTTACCGTTTTCGAGATCCCTGCAGTGAGAAGCGAATTTATAACAGCCTGTATATTCAAATAATTTTAACATGTAGGTTCCAACCACTTTGGGATAAATCAAATATATACGGTACAAGCTGCCAAGAAAGGATTTATGGGGTTTAGCTTCACCAATACCTCACCAATCATGGTTCCCACAAGGGCAAAGGATGTGAGTCGGCAAATAAAATAAAAAATAGTTCTAATATTAAATTTTTGTGGTAAACTACTACTTTTTTAAGGAGGTTTATCGGGTACGGAGGTACGTCTAAAGTCTAACGAGAGTTTCTGTAGATTCGCTAGTGACTAAAGTAGTAAGCCTTTAAATTTGTGAACGTTGCACTTGGCAGGCTCAGTCGCCTTGGCGTTCGCTCGCTCGCGTTCGATCATTCTGTTTGCTTGGACACCTGCAACATTCAAATAATACGCTACGTCGAGACCGCGGCGTTGCCGCTGTCACGCATATGGATGTTAAGTTAGTCAACGACAGCAGTTTAATGGAGAATTACTATAAATTATGTATCTTACAAGTACCTAATCGATTTCTACGAGTTGTCATACGGTTCCTTAGATATCGGTTTCCTATTTATACAAGTTGCTGTGAAAACTGTTCGTCAATTGTTGCGCATTCTATGTGGAAAAACCAAAAAAATCTGCATTCTCATAAGACTTCGTACTAAATCGTGAAAAATTATTTTATTAATATCTCGTCTCTTAGGTATCCAAACTAGTCATGATTTTGTTTGAGGATTTTTTTCGTATTAATAAGCTTATATTAATTTTTTTATGAATATTTGTTTGTCAATTCCAAATCAGATAAACCTCCTGAAATTATACATTTTTGTTATTAGCTTCTGTACTTTGAGAAGGTTAAACTAATTCAAACAAAGTCTAAAAATTTTTGTAAAATCCTCATCAGATGATTGTACATTCTGTCAAAACAGTATCCGGAATTTGTCATTTAAAAATTTCACATAAAGTAGATTTAAATTTCCTTTTTCATGGAAAGTTGGTAGCGCTATACACTACTCGCGTTTGAGCACGATCTGTAGTAGTTTGTTTACAGCTGTTAATTTTATTAGTCCACATAAAGTGTGTTCCACGATTTTTATTATGGACATCGTTATTGAACAAAGAGTTTGACTAAAATTTTGTGCTGCCAACTAAATGTCTTGTGCTGAATCGTTGAAAATGTAAGGAAAGACGTACGGTGATTCACTTTTGTCCAAAACTCAAGCATACGTATAGTACAAAGCATTCAAACATGGTTGAGAAGGGTTGGTGATTTCCGTTCTGATCGTCTTTCAACGTCTTCAACTGAAGATAATATCGATAAAGTGAAGGAAATGGTGCTTGCAAACCATCATTATAACTAAACATATCTTACGAATTAGTTTGCACCGTTTTAGTTGATGTTTTGGGAATGAAATGTGTCGCAGTAGAGCTGGTGGCAAAAGAACTGAATTTCCTCAACAAAAAGAGCATCACAAACATGTTGCAGATGACAGAGATAGTTTGGACTCTAAATTCATGCAACGCATCATAACAGATGACGAGACCTGGGCTTACAAGTTTGACATGCAAACAAGCCAACAAGCTTTGGAATGACACTTTTCTAATGAGCCCAAAACTAAAAGAACTATGTCAAAGTCGAGCAAAAATTAAAGTCATGTTGACACACAGAATTCGTTTCGGATGGAGAAACGGTCAACAAAGAATATTATAGACATTATGAGGCATTTGAGAGAGTATTTGCCGCAAAAAACCAGGTTTATAGAAGGACAATTCCTGGATTTTGCACCACGATAATGTAGTATCAAACAAAGCGATATATGTGAATGAATTTTTGAGCAAAATCTCAACGAATGTCATCGAGCAACCCGCTGCTGATTTTTTTCCTCTTTCCCAAGCACAAATTATCAATTCGTGGAACACGTTTTGAATCGATAGAAGCCATAAAATGGAATTGGAGTTCATACAAGAATATATGTTTAAAAAGTGCTTTGATGACCAGGTTGTTCCTTGAAAAATGTGTACTACTTCAAATGGGGCCTATTTTGAAGGAGACAAAATAGATTTTTATGATTACTTGAATATATTGTGTTCTATAGACAAATTTTGGATACTTTTTTGACAAAATGTATAAGGGTGTTTTTGGCACCCAGAGTACTTCGCTAAGCGAGAAAGTTGTAACTGATTTCCATGAAAATTGAGTTCTCGTAATTTTTTGTATTTGTAAAAACAAAAGCAACTTGTGGTATAATTTTATAGTCTTACTCTCATCACAAATGATTTAAAGTTTGTCAAGTTTGAAAAATAGTCTGCTTTTATTAAAGGAAATTGTTGTATTTGACATTACCTGGCATAATGGCATAATTCAGGGCCGTATTAACCTATGGTGAGGCCTGGGGCTGCTGGCTCTATGGAGGCCTTTTTCTAAAAAAAAAAAAAAAACAAAATAGTGAGTTACCGATATAGAATTTAAAAACCAAACTCAATGCTCTAAAACCCACAAAAGATGAAAATATTAATGCTATTAAAAATAATAGAGCAATGTTACAACCTTATTGTTTAGAACGGCAGAATATCGTTTGTAATAAATATTAACTATTAATTAATAGCCTTCAAAGTTGCTTTTTAACATGCCTAAATATTTCGAGAGCGTACAGGCTGTTACAAATTCGCTTCTCACTACAGGGATCTCGGAAACGGTAAGAGATACAAACTAGCTTAAATCGGGGCAAAGTTGCATAATCAGGATTATGCCTCTAAAAAATCAAGGCTAACATGATTAGTTTTCGAAATATTTGAAAAAAACAGAAATTTTGGAAATCCGTTTTTGTTTCATTTCAGCCTTGTTTGAGGTGATATTGAAAAAAGAAGNATGAGGCCTGGGGCTGCTGGCTCTATGGAGGCCTTTTTCTAAAAAAAAAAAACAAAATAGTGAGTTACCGATATAGAATTTAAAAACCAAACTCAATGCTCTAAAACCCACAAAAGATGAAAATATTAATGCTATTAAAAATAATAGAGCAATGTTACAACCTTATTGTTTAGAACGGCAGAATATCGTTTGTAATAAATATTAACTATTAATTAATAGCCTTCAAAGTTGCTTTTTAACATACCTAAATATTTCGAGAGCGTACAGGCTGTTACAAATTCGCTTCTCACTACAGGGATCTCGGAAACGGTAAGAGATACAAACTAGCTTAAATCGGGGCAAAGTTGCATAATCAGGATTATGCCTCTAAAAAATCAAGGCTAACATGATTAGTTTTCGAAATATTTGAAAAAAACAGAAATTTTGGAAATCCGTTTTTGTTTCATTTCAGCCTTGTTTGAGGTGATATTGAAAAAAGAGGAACACTTTGTAATGTTTCGTCTCTCCAGGACCGTCATCAACTTCATTTTTTGAAATACGAACCTGGATATTTTATTTCATTTTTTGTACAGTATTGGGGGTCATGAAGGCTTGCAAAAAATGTAATAAAATGTCCAGGGTCGTATTTAAAAAAATGAAGTTGATGATGGTCCTGGCGAGACGAAACGTTACATATAAAAATTAATTATGCCATTCGATAAAGGGCAAAAGATGCCATAAGAAAGTGTTCTTCTTTTTTCAATATCACCTCAAACGAGGCTGAAATGAAACAAAAACGGATTTCCAAAATTTCGTTTTTTTCCAAATATTTCTAAAATTAATCATGTTAGCCTTGATTTTTTAGAGATATAATGTTGATCCACTGATTATGCAACTTTGCCCCCATTTAAGCTACTTCGCATCTCTTACCGTTTCCGAGACTCCTGTAGTGAGAAGTGAATTTGTAACAGCCCATATTGGCGTCGAGAGCATACATATTCCTGTATTTTAAAGGCTGCGCTAGGAACAAATCCACTTTCCTTCGCTGCTCCTGGATTAAATGGAGATAGTTTCATACTGGACATGTCTACTGCTTGCGTGGCTATGGGAAAGGTAAAGAATTTTTTTTAACTGAATCTTAATAAAAGAAAATAATAGAGTCATTTTAAGGTTATGTTTAGGTTCAAATTTACAGCTGCATTCAGAAAATCACATCGACTGAATGCAATTTTTTTCGTTTTTTTATATTCGATTAGTATGCGATTTTTGTTTGAATCACAAAATATTCATGTTCAAATATAGAAAAATTTTTAAGAAAATTGCAGCCAATGCACTAGAGATTATAAAAATTTGGTTGCTTAAGACGAGGTAATAGATATTCTGAAATTTAGTAAAACTACTTTTTTTATATATCCTTTTATTTTCAATTCTTATTTATTTTTTTAAATACACAGGCTTTCCTCCTTATACCTTATTTAAATCGAGGAAGGTGAATCCTTTTTGGTAAACTAACAGTGGTACAGCCCAAGAATCTTCCACAATCGCACTGATTTTTTTCATAGTAGATTTCATAATAATACATTGAAATCTATAATTTTTTTTAAAATTTCCTGATTTCGTGTGAGTTATTAGACAGTGATAAGGAATGAGAGGATGCGAAGCCAAAACGTTCTGGTAATAATAACGCAGTTTATAAATGTTTATTTCAAAAGTCATAAATAAACTTCTTCTGTTTATAACTTTTGATCTAATTAATATTTTTTGACGCTCGAGGGCTAGTTTTGTAGGTGTTTTGAAGACCAAAAAAAAGTACTTTACTGTTTTCTCGTGGAAATGAACGGTAAAAAGTTATAAGCGAAAAACGTGAATTTACGTAAAAATTATACAATTAACCACCCTGTAAACAATCTTCCCCCTATTTTTGTGACTGTGGGAACTAATATATTATTGTACACAATATTTAGCATCTATAGTGATAAATTCAGCTTGCCGAAATAAAAAGTCGTGTCCAACTCTATATTTCCTGGCCTAGGTAATTCTGAATTACCTACTAAATGAATTCATATAAATTTTTTCGCATTAAAATTGCTTTTACAAAAAAAATCATATTAGTGTTATTAGCTGTTATTTTGATTAAGGTTTTTCTTATTTTTCATAATTTTCTTTAAATCAATTGAGAAGAAGGTGTCTAAATTTGTCAAGAAAAACAAGCAAACCATTTTGTTCCCGATAACAGTGACGTGGATGTGAGCAGTTTGACGGTTAAATTGAAGGAAAAATGTTAAATGTCATTTCTTAGAAATCGTTACAGTTTTGCAAAAAACAAAGGATTATACAAAAAAAAAAGTGTACCAGTTGATAATCGATGTACATTCTTCGAGAAAAATTAAAAGTCCAATTATATGGGCCTTTAAATCGCAATTTGGTCAACTTGCCTGAATTTTTGATATGTTAGTTTGAGGTATATAATAACAATAAGTGACAGTATTTTTTTTTTCAACCCCCGGCCAAGGGGTGAAAAAATATAAAGGAGTTTTTGAAGATAACTCAAAACGGGTAAGAGCTAGAAAAAAGTTTCTTATAAAAGTTGTAAGCATAAAATTCTACATAAAAATGGTCTATTGACTTTTTCTTGTGCTATTAAAATTAACAGAATTAGGGGAATTTAAATAAATCATATCAATAGCATATTCAATCAAACAAGCGGAAAAATTAATGAATTTTATAATTTAATTTCAATCTACTCTTAAAAATATAAGCTTTCTTTTCAGAGAGATGGATATATTTTTTAATTTTTAATAAAGTTAAAAAACAGTTATATAACAATTTCAATTTTTTAATCCTTAATTTTTATGATTTAACTCTAAAACAATTTTTTTCTATTCCATTGACTATTATTAAAATAATGAAAACTTGCTTTCGAAATTTTATTACGACAAAAAATATAAAAAAATCACGTTCACTTTGTGAAATTGTTCTTTTTATTAAAAATTAAAAAAATATCTAGTTTACATTTTTAGAGTACATTGAAAAAAAATATATAAAATTCATTCATTTTTCTGCTTGTTATGATTTTTTAAATTTCTGAAATCATCCTCTAACTTCTAACCACCCTAACTCTGTTAATTTTAATAGCACAAGAAAAAGTCAATAGACCATTTTTATGTAGAATTTTATGCTCTACAACTTTTATAAGTAACTTGTTTTTCTAGCTCTTACCCCTTTTCAGTTATCTTGAAAAACCCCTTTATTTTATCTTTTTTAAAAAAAAATTAGTGTCACTTATTGTTATTATGTACCTCAAACTAACTTATATCAAAAATTCAGACAAGTTGACCAAAATTGTGATTTAAAGACCCATTTAATTAGACTAAGGTGACGGCAGAAGTAAATTTTAAAATATTGACATGAAGTATGTTACTACACATTCAGTGTAATTTGACAACATAAATTTCAATTTTTCATAACTTTCAAAATCTGAAATATTTGTATTATTTTTTAAATTAATTAAACTATTTACAATTTTGTTATTTAATTATATTGTGATGGTGGTCGAGCGGTTCGAGGCGTCAGTACTTGAATCGATAAATGCCATTGTCAGGGGTTCAATCCCCGTGGCCGTAAAACCCTAATGAGCTATTTTCGTAGAGAGGAATCTACGGGTATGGTAGGGTGGAAGAAACATTGGCTTCGGTCAATGTGAGAGATTCATACCGGTTGGCGTTTGACCACCTCCTTAATGAGGTATTAATATGCCTACCCCTCTCCCACACGAGTCTTGGAATTCTGGGCTAATACTTGCGATTAGAATGAGGTGTAGAGATATTATTATTAATTAAAATTTGTGTTGTCAAATTATACCGAATCCATTGTCCCTTACTTTATCATATGTATTAACATTTTTAAATTTACTCCGGCTCCGGTTTTTTCTGCGCTTTACTCTAATTACAACGTATTGGTTTTCAACTACTATACTTTTTTTGTGATACCCTTTAAGGTGTTCAAAGGCATCAGAATGATCAAGAAATTTTGACATTTATTATATTTTTCCTTCAATAATTGTACCCCTCAGCCATGACTACGACACTTCTGGATCATCTTTTTAAACAAAATAATTAATTTAGTGTCACTTATAAGTTAGGAAAATCTGTATAAAAATAATGGCAAGCGTAACATAATATGTATTTTTTATATTTATTAGAATTTTATTAAAATTATTACACTTGAAAGCTCAAGATCGGGTTTTACTGGTTATTTTACCCATCTGAGTATAACATTGTTATTTATTATTTCTCTTCCCTGCATATTAATAGTATTTTTTTTAATGGTGCCATAATCTTTTCTAAGTTATACCAAAATATGTTTAGAAATTCAATAATTCTGAACAGACCGTGCCATAATTCAATTTTTAATGGTCAAGCAACCATGCGTTATACAGGGTGATTCGCTTTTTATGATTAGGACTTTAACCGTCGATAGATGTCGCCAAAATAATGTAATTTTGAAGATACATTTTCCCTTCCAAAGGCTTCCTTTTAGCTCTTGAAAAAACTTTTTTTTGGTTTTTATTTATTTTTTCTAAAACTATGAAAGCCATTTGTTTTATATTTAGTATGAAGTGTACGAATGAAAACTTCTATCGATTTTACAAATTATTGTGAAAATAGATCAATCATAGGCGTCCGTAAGGGGCTCTGATAACCCCTATTTTTAATATAATNAAATTAGTGTCACTTATTGTTATTATGTACCTCAAACTAACTTATATCAAAAATTCAGACAAGTTGACAAAAATTGTGATTTAAAGACCCATTTAATTAGACTAAGGTGACGGCAGAAGTAAATTTTAAAATATTGACATGAAGTATGTTACTACACATTCAGTGTAATTTGACAACATAAATTTCAATTTTTCATAACTTTCAAAATCTGAAATATTTGTATTATTTTTTAAATTAATTAAACAATTTACAATTTTGTTATTTAATTATATTGTGATGGTGGTCGAGCGGTTCGAGGCGTCAGTACTTGAATCGATAAATGCCATTGTCAGGGGTTCAATCCCCGTGGCCGTAAAACCCTAATGAGCTATTTTCGTAGAGAGGAATCTACGGGTATGGTAGGGTGGAAGAAACATTGGCTTCGGTCAATGTGAGAGATTCATACCGGTTGGCGTTTGACCACCTCCTTAATTAATGAGGTAATAATATGCCGACCCCTCTCCCATACGAGTCTTGGAATTCTGGGCTAATACTTGTGATTAGAATGAGGTGTAGATATAATATTATTAATTAAAATTTGTGTTGTCAAATTATACTGAATCCATTGTCCCTTACTTTATCATACATTTTTAAATTTACTCCGGTCATTTTTTTCTGCGCTTTACTCTAATTACAACTTATTGATTTTTAACCCTTGAAAAAACATTTTTTTTGGTCTTTATTTATTTTCAAAAAAACTATGAAAGCCACTTGTTTTATACTTAGTATGAAGTGTACGAATGAAAACCTCTATCGATTTTACTAATTATTGTGAAAATAGATCAATCATAGGCGTCTGTAAGGGGCTCTGATAACCCCTATTTTTAATATAATTTCTAGGCCACTGGAAAATTTGCAAAATGAATATATTTTTTTTACAATACTGTTTATTCTACAGCAAAAAGATTCTTACTATTTTTAAATGAAACGCTTGGTTTTTGAGAAAAATGGCTTCTTTTGAGTTCATTACATGTGAAATGGTTAAGCTTTTCAAACAAAGTAATACGGGATAAAATATTTAATATTAAGAAACAAACAGAAATAACAATTAACAATAGAGAAATGTTCGAAATGTTGTCCTCGAAATTCAATGCATTTCTCAGATCGCCGCATTAAGCTTTGAACCGCTCTCCTAACATATTGCGGCTGTGTATAAGAGTTTCACAATTATTTTCAAATCTTCTTAACCTTTCAAGAGTACAGACTTTCTTTAATATAACCCCAAACGAAATAATCCGTGGGATTTAGATCTGGCGATCGTGGCAGCCAAATGGGACCGGTACCAGATTCAGCACGATTCATTTCCAAAATACGGTCGATCCAACAATGTAGATAGTGCTCCAAGAGCCACTGCCTAATTAGAAGACCATAATGAGCCGGAGTACTATCCATCTGAATCACATTCTTAGAAGTAATAAATCGTCGAATAAAGTATTTAAATCTTATTTGTTGTGTCTTACTCATTCCCTCGCTAAACACAAACTAAATATGGTAGCTGCCCAAAAATTTACAGGTATGTCACTGACATGGTAGTACTGTCAATGACGTACACAAAAAAGGAATCTCTTTTAATAATCAAGGACCAGTTTGTCATGAAACACTGTACCCACTGATTTTTAAAATGTGCATCATNTTTCTAAAACTATGAAAGCCATTTGTTTTATATTTAGTATGAAGTGTACGAATGAAAACTTCTATCGATTTTACAAATTATTGTGAAAATAGATCAATCATAGGCGTCCGTAAGGGGCTCTGATAACCCCTATTTTTAATATAATATCTACGCCACTGGAAAATTTGCAAAATGAATATATTTTTTTACAATACCGTTTATTCTACAGCAAAAAGATTCTTACTATTTTTAAATGAAACGCTTGGTTTTTGAGAAAAATGGCTTCTTTTGGGTTCATTACATGTGAAATGGTTAAGCTTTTCAAACAAAAATAATACAGGATAAAATATTTAATATTAAGAAACAAACAAAAATAACAATTAACAATAGAGAAATGGTCGAAATGTTGTCCTCGAACTTCAATGCACATTTCTCACATCGCCTCATTAAGCTTTGAACCGCTCTCCTAATCATATTGCGGTTGTGTTTAAGAGATTCACAATTATTTTCAAATATTAACCTTTCAAGAGTACAGACTTTCTTTAATATATCCCCTAACGAAATAATCTATGGGATTTAGATCTGGCGATCGTGGCGGCTAAGCAATGGAACTGGTACCAGGTTCTGCATGATTCATTTCCAAATACGCCCGATTCAACAATGTGGATAGTGCTTCCCGAGCCACTGTCTAATTAGAAGACCATAATGAGCCGGAGCACCATCCATCTGAATCACATTCTCCTTAGAAGTAATAAATCGTCGAATAAAGTATTTAAATCTTATTTGTTGTGTCTTACTCATTCGCTCGCTAAACACAAACTAAATATGGTAGCTGCCCAAAAATTGACAGGTATGTCACTGACATGGTAGTACTGTCAATGACGTACACAAAAAAGGAATCTCTTTTAATAATCAAGGACCAGTTTGTCATGAAACACTGTACCCACTGATTTTTAAAATGTGCATCATGGTGGAATTATCTATTTTTACTAATCGTCGTCTAATTGAATTTGTGTTATTAGATTGAGATGCGAGCGAGAAAAGGCCAGTCGATACCCGAAGGGTGGGCTCTGAATAGCCAAGGTAAAGTTGAGACCGACGCGAAAGTAGCAAAAGAGGCTGGTAGGTTGCTGCCATTAGGTGGGGAAGAAATTAATTCCGGTTATAAAGGGTATGGTTTAGGGCTGATGGTGGAAACCTTGTGTGGAATACTGTCAGGTAAGCCGGTGTGAAAAGAGCCGCTGGCAAAACGAATTTGTTCGAATTATCATAGGCCTATAAATGAGCCTATTAAGACTAATAATATTTAAAACTGTTTTACATCGACAATTTAATCGTGAATAAATTCACGAATTCATCGGTTTATTTGTAAATGGTTGTGCAAACTTTGTTAATTCCTTTGAAAGAATAACAAATATAGCAAGTCAAATACTTTGGCTGATGGATTTCATTCACACTGATCTGTTCATACTTTTGTCAAAAGATGGTCCGAGAACTGATTTCAAGGTCATTTTCAAAGTGCTTTCCCACTCACTATTTTAAAGGTGCAAAGTTTGTTGAATTGGCCTACTTTTTGCAGTGGCGGCTCGCCAGGTGACGCATCATTCCACCTAAAATTTCCGTTTGGTTGTGAAATTTAAAATTATTTTTAATTTTAAATAAATTTTATAATTTAGATATAATACTATATTGAAAATGTATTGCGTTCTTGTTTAATACGCAGAAATAAACAGAATAGTTGCGCGGTGAACGCCTTCTAAAAAAATATTGCCTTCGTTGAGTGCGAACATCAATCTCGTGCCTCGTGTGTATAAGCAAGTGACGCGGATCAAAATCAGTCTGTATTCCGCTTCTCTTCGTAGCGTTTTTTACGGCGGTTGTCATGGCAATGAGGCGCCCAACACGGGAGTAAACTACGGCTCACAGTGTGTTAATCAAATAGTATTGATTTTTTTTTATTCTTTCGGAAATTACCTGTACTGTAAAGTTCCGGTGAGGTAATTGGAATATATGCCTAGAATTTCTTCAAAATGGCCGAACAATCTCTAGCCTCAAACTCGATCATACGAAGTTTAACATATTCGGTGTATAAAAATGAAAAAAAAAAGGAAAATTATGTACTAAAACTACTAAAAAAAATCATAAACCTTAAACATATTCCTAAATCATGAATCTAGACCCAAAACGAACATACCCAATTTTTTCTAAGCCTGTGAGTATAAATCCATAAAAATTGTACTTTTGAGTGTGCAACCAATATTTGAAGTTAATATTATTATTATTAACTTCAAATATTGGTAGTAATAATAATAATTTTTATTATGTTTTGGGTCTAGATTAATGATTTAAGAAAATGTTTATGATTTTTTTTGTTCGGCGGCCTTTAGTACATAATTTTCCTTTTTTTTTCATTTTTAGATACCAAATATGTCAAACTTCGTATGATCGAGTTTGAGACTAGAGATTACATGGCCATTTTGAACAAATTCTAGGCATATATTCCAATTATCTCACCGGAACTTTATAGTACAGGTAATTTCCGAAAGAATAAAAAAAAAATGAGTACTATTTGATTAGTTTTGATGCGTGGCTCGAATTTTTTCCAATATTTCCCACTGTGCGGCGTGGGGGCACGAGTGACGCGGAGATTGGAGCAGCACTGTCATTGCCCATCGCGGCATCGCCTGCCTTTAAACAGTTTATACGATACGCGTCGCCCACTGCACGATTATAAAGGTTCTTTGTTAATATTTGTTTTGTATAATAATTGTAGAAATGTTTCCTATGTATGATACAGTATGTATTTTAGTGGAAACATGTGCCTTATTCTCTCGATATGGAAAAAAGGGGAAGTCAAAAGACAATGTGTACAATGTATTCGGAGTATAAGTGGTGGTGTGGAAGTGTTTATTTAAAAAAAAACGTTTCTGCTGTTTTCACACGGGTTTTTCTGTATACTGTGTTTAATTGTGGGTGTCGAGCGTGTGGAAGAAGGAGGGATTTAAAGACATTTGACCTTGAAATTTTGAAAATTTCCGCCTGCGTCACTTTTTTCTTTCTTGTTAGTCAATCAATGACTATTCTTCACCTATTCTCAATGTCACGAGCTGCCACTGACTTTTTGGCCTTTAATCAATTCGAGAATTGTCTAATCGGATCATCGATTCAAAAGTTGTAAGCAGGAAGATCGTTTCATGGACTCCTTTTGAAATTATTTTTTAAAATAACGGGTTATCCATTTTCTCCTTAGGAAAGTAAAGTTTAAAAAAACACTGAATATTTAAATTTCGATGGAACTTTTATTTCATAATAAAGTTTGGACTATGCCATTATGCGTGAAAAACAATATCATTCAAATGTTCTCCACGGAACCGTTTGTAGGACTCAATCTTTTTGAGGTAATTTTCGAAGACTTTTTCACACAATTCGGGCAATAATTCGGCCATAACTTGATATATCTCGTCCTTCAATTACTCCAAAGTTGTGGGATTGTTCGCATAACCACGGTCTT